CCTTTCTCTGTCCTTGTGTACCTCTGATGTCTCTTCATCTTCTTAAAAGGAAACTAGTCAGACTGGATAAGGACCATACCCATATGACTTCACTTAATTCTAACTACCCTTTTAGAGACGCTATCTTGAAATATAGTTACTTTCCGTGTTAGGGCTTCCAAATATGAATTTCAAATTTTGAGGTCACACAATTCAGTCCACAACAGGTAGTAATGCTATTAACCAAATATTCTGGAATAGCTTCCCCTTGAATAAAAAGTAAAATTTCATGAAGGGAGGTGAAAAAGTTATGATTTCCACATGGTATCAAGTTATTCAAAATCTGAATTTACATGTGAATCATTTATGTGACATATGGTTTATACGTGAATAAGTGAACAACCATTAGCTCTGGTTTGGGACCTATCTTAATAGAACTCACAAATATTTAGAAAAGGAAGAGCCAAGAAGACTAGCAACTCAAACATATTATTTCCCAGAAAAGGAAAGATCCAGAGTCAGAAATGCCAGGAGAGACTTCCAGGGGGCACAGCTCAGGGGCAGAGCATGTGGCTGCAGATGTGACAGCTGTTCTTGCCTCTATTCTGGAAGAGGTTCAAATCGACAGGTTCAGTTTTTATTCTCTGGAAATATGGCTTCCATCTTTGAAACAAGCCTGAGTCTTACCTAAGTGGCTTTGATATGCAGAGCCACAGACTGAGGCACTTTTGTCATAAACCCACAATAAAACAAAGGAAGCTGGAGCATGGGTGCACAAATACAAGTAGGGATATCTGGACTCCTTCGTGAAGACACACCAGGTTTTTAGAACATAATTTTATGTTCTAAAGTTGGATCATTTGCGATGTTCCCATCTCTGAATTGTTTTTAATGCTTTGGATGACAGTTGCTGGATTTAACAAATAAACATATAGGGTATCCAATTAAATTTGAATTACAGGTAAACAATGCATTGTTTTTATAGAATAAACATGTCTTATTCAATATTGGGGACATACTTATACCCAAAAAAATCTTTCACTGGACACAGTTGTACTAAAAAATAATTTGTTACTTATCTGTAACCCAAATTTAACTGTAGGTCCTGTATTTTGGGTTCAAGAAGGAATCCACTCCCTTTGTCCCTCTTCATACACCAGCACCCTCATTTATGCTATTACCAAAAACTCCGTAAATTTAATTTCCTGGTCTTAATTTGGTGCTGCTTTTTAGCTCTGGGCCAACACATGAAAACCCAGACTTCAAGCTCCCTTTCATTAAGCTGCTTTGATAGGTGGTTACAGATACTCTGTGTTAAAACATTAAAGTTTTACTCAACTTTTCCCCCTATAGTGAAGTATTTCCATCTTTATATCAATGCCCCATGATGTTAATATGACCACATGAATAGACCTTAGGTGCGTTATAATATGGTGAGAAATTTCTAACCCTTTAGATCTCTAAACTCTGGCCTCAGATCGCTCACCTGTAAGTCGTGGGATCAGAATCAACGTGTATTCCCCAAGGTTCCCGCTAACAATTCCAGGCTATGAGTCTGAAATGAGAGTTCTGTTAATGCTCTCACGTGCCTTATAAAACCTAAATTGTTTCTATTGCAGAGCAATCCTTTTGTTCTTTAAGTAGTGTTTGGATTACTTAAATAAGTAACGTTTAGATCACTCCATTTACAGCTTAACCTTTAAAGATGTTTAACCCAAGTCCCTCAAAGGGCGAAGAATGTACTTTACATTTCTTTCCATTCCTACTCACCCTACCACCAAACTTTGCATACAGTAGGTGGTCAGATGATGTGATCATGAAATGCTGATAAATGTGGCAACAATCCCATTTTGCTGGGCTGTAATTGTCAAAAATAATTTTGCTGTGAACCTAGACCATCTCCGCGGTTTCAGGACAGTAAGCAGGGAACGGCTTCTTGTTCTCTTCTGCCATCTAGTGGCGACAAGACTGCTCTCCGCTCAGCTCGCAGTGCCGAGCTGCAAAGATTTTAAAGATCGTAAATCAAATGGATGAATCGTTTTATTCTTGTCATTACAGTAAAAAGGGATTTATAGAATGTTTCAACAGATAAAATATAATAAATGTTAATAAAAGTTAAGTGTAACACAGTGACAGACTTTAATACTTGGACGTTGCAGATTAAATTCATGCACTTTTATCTCTTTAATATGTTAAAATGTTAAATTGAAGACTGAAGAACAAAACTATTAACTAGATTAAGGTGTTTGTAAGACAGATTACCCTTGTAAGGTGCTCTTGTATACTATTAAAGAAGGTTTTCATTGAAAATAAATATAATCATAGCAGATAAAAAGGGAAAAAAGAACAGAAATAAATTCTGAAAAGCGTTGAATTGGTAGAGAATGTTTCAATTCCGTATTTAACCACTTGTCTTCAATTAAGATAGAGCTTATTCTCGTTATTATTTATAAATGCAATACAGTGTTTAATGAGTGTTGAATGATATTTAGTTTTAATGTCCCATAATCTGGAACTTTCCTCAAATGGCATAATAGTGGGTTTAATTGTGTGAATCTAAAGTAAAAATAAATTTCTCTAATGAATGAAATAAAGTATTTCTGAAGTGTGACTTATTTCCCATTAAGGCTGTTTTCACTGAATAACTACATAAAAAATATTTCTGACATTTTAACATTATTCTGGTTTTCTTTTGATTTTAATTTAAAATGCCAATGCTATGATGAAATATTTAGATCTTTCTAACAAAAAGAGACTTAACTGGAATGCTGCTTTGTTTTTTAACACACTTGTGAGCCAGCTAAGGGAAATGTGCCATTTTTTTTTTTCCAGGGTGGGAAAATCCCCATAAGGTGGACAGCCCCAGAAGCTATTGCCTACAGAAAATTCTCCTCGGCAAGTGATGCTTGGAGCTATGGCATTGTCATGTGGGAGGTCATGTCCTATGGAGAGAGACCTTATTGGGAAATGTCTAACCAAGATGTAAGTGCTACCAATAGTTAAACCACCATTTTGTGAATGTAAACACACATATGCCTTTTGTCCTCACCCAGGTTAGCCCTTATTGTCCCTGCCCTAAGAGTGTTCAGGGTCTGTGCCTGAGTTTGAGGAGCTGAGTCACCATTTACTCTGAGCAATATTTGGTTTCATAAAAGCCAGCTGATGAACCGTGCCATGGAAGTACCCGGTCCACATGGTACATGTGAGACTTCCACACCTGTAGTGCATCATGACTGTGCTCATACAACAACCTTGACCTACAAGTAGAACAAAAGAAAGAATAATGTTTATCTCTCATTTTTTCCTGGGGGCAATTCCATGTACCACTGTAAAGAGCTAAGTAATTTAGGCTAGATATTATTTAGGAGAAAAAGAGTGAATGTTTTCAGGCAATACATTCTCAGTATCTGTCATCTAGAGTTTCCTTTTGAGATATGTGACCCTTACTGCTGTCCATTTTGTTTCTATTTTGTCTGTAAAAATGACCCTGGTGGTTGATACTGTTACAGAACAGGATAGCTCATACGTTTAACCTCTATGACCTATTCCCATGTGAAGATGCAGGTACTCTGACCATGCATGAGTGTGCTGTTGGAGCTAACAGGATGTTTTAGTTTCCCACTTCCTCATTCTGGAATTCAGGCTTTGTCTACTCAACTTTCCTTTCTCAGAGACTTTGATAGTTTCTTAGATGATAATGATGGGAAGTCACCTCAAAGGTAACTCTGAATCTTCATAGGTGAAAACAAAAACTATGCAACTATAAATTAATCCCTACATGCACAGAGGAGAACTATTACCACATCTCATTTCTTTTTGCCAGTTAATCACTGGAGTAATTTCCAACCACTTCACCTCCTCACACCTTATTACTCCATTACAACTTCACATTGTCCAGGTATCCTAAGGACTGACTCAATCACAAAGAGAATTTGTACCTTTCTAATGCCCAGGCATAGACAACATTGGATTTTGCTTTAGTTGATGATGGCTATTGTTTCTCCCTGCCATCTAGTGTTGCCTTTGAAGCTGACTCCTGCTTAGTCCTGTGGTGTCTCCTGTCTCTGGTCCAGAACTCCTGTAGCAGCAAGTTTGAGGTCCAACATAGTCATTGCCCTTCAAAGCACAAGGTCAACACACAAAGCCAGACCCCCAGAGCATCTGGTCTTAGGGGCAAAGGATGCCATAAACAGAAACCTCTGCTCTATCTTCAACACTTAGGCTTTATGGATCAGGGTCCTTGGCTGAAGTTTACTGTTCATTGGAGGATTTTGTTGCAAAGAACTCAGTTCTCTTCCCTGACATGGGGCCTTGTTTGGGCCAATTTCTGACTGCCTTTCAAATTCTTCCTAACTTTTCAATTCCAGAAGCAGGAATTTGTCCCTTCACACCCAAAGAGAACTCATATTTGGGATTTTGTTTCATTTTGTTTTTTGTTTTTAACCTGTTATCTAAGGTAGTAGAAGCCCTGGATTCAGTC